GGGGGGGGGGGGGGTGCAACATGTACACAACCTAACCCTCTAATAAGAGATAGGTTGTTATTTTTGTTAGACCTTTTTATGAATTGTTGTATTTACTTTTTCAAAACTTTATCAAAAGGAGCAAGGGGAGGTTTACGTGCCATTTACTGTCCATTATCTACCTGTCAAACATATCCCTTTTAACTTCATTAACAAAGGCATTACTTTTTTCAATACAATGGTTTGAATAAGATTTGACATGTACATTTGAATTGTGCAGAAGAGTTTTCTTAGTAAATGTTTGATTACTTCTGTCACTTTAGATCAATTGAACACTTGATCAGTGTTCTTTTCATTTTAGCTATTCTATGCCATTGGAACAATTAATAAATTGCAGTGAATCTGCATAGGTTTCTGTCCAAACACGCATCATTCCTCCACTTTCATAACCTCCCCTCCAAAGTCCTCCAACCGAGGACTAAAAGAAGTGTCCTTATTTATATTATAATTGTCATGTTCTATCAATGGACTTCTTACTGAGGAAAACTAAGTTACATATTTATATTCCTGTTTTGATTTTTTGGCGGAGTGCTATGCCTTATGGGGTTCACTGGGTTGCAAAAGGAGCCATATACATATTTTCTGGTAAACAATTCCAAACCACCCATTGAAGTCTTTTCTTCCATTTAAATAATTGTAGGTTGAGACTATATGAGGTATCTTAAGTTTTTTTTTCTTCTTTTGCAGGGAGATTTCTGCTGATTTGGAGGGAACAAAAATAAGGTGAGTGCCCCCACCCGTCTCCCTCCCCACTAATACTTCAACTAAATGAGGGAAGGGGAGATGAGTCTCTCTCCTCCAATCGAACCAAACACACCCTACGGCAATGCTTATGTCAATGGAATGACTTATTATCAAGTAATAACTCTTTGGGGGAAGGTAAAACTTTCTTTCTTAATGCTCTACTGCCTGTCTTGTTTTTTCTTTCTCAATTTGCATTGCTTCTTCTTCTTTTTCTTTTTTGTTGTGTTTTTTTTTCTGGTTTTATTCCAATCCAATCCGTTCTGGTTTGGTTATGCTGATAGTGAAAAAAATAAAAAATAGAGTGTTGAATGACTTTAACTCAAGCTCCTATTATGGTTTTGAAGTCTCTCTTGTTTTATGACTCAGTCCATCCTTGAACTTCATAGAAATGACATGTCATCACATATATTTAATGTGATAATCTTGGATGTGTTGATAAAGAGTCAGAAACTTGGAGCTCAGATTGTTTGCCCAAACTTCAGTGTGCCAGTGCCAAATGTGAGGTAGATGGTTTTTCAAATGTACGAAAGTGAACAACTTATGTATTTGCATGGACTGATTGTGAGAAGTTTCACATTAATGCATTCCTATTTATACCATGTCTTTCTTTTCCACTTTTGCTGAGTGCTAACTACATTAAATAGTCTCATTAGACACAGTGGCAATTGTATTGAAAATTTGAACTGAGCAGATTTCTTTATGAAGGCATTTCATTATATGAAGACCGCCCATTAGCCGAGAGCGTATGTGGTTCGTTTTCAAATCTGCAGGTTTGTATGATTCTTCTTTGCATTGTTGCATTAGGGTGGGGGTTCTGAATTGCCAGTTGCTCATAAAGGGTTAGGGAATGCTAAGCAATTGATTTAAATACCCTTTCCATGGCTTCCTATAGTGTTTGTCACTTAAAGGTGTTTTTGTCAGATTTGTGGCATTCTCTAACCTCATCACTGTCAAAGTGACAATAGCTTATATGGTAGTCTATATGCTTGCTGCTTTACATAAATTCATTATGATAACATGATTTTTGTGACTGGATTTTGATTAGTTCACATAGTGTGCATATGTTCATAAAGGGAGTGAGTGTGAAGGGTTCATAATTATGTCTGAGTTTATTTTTGGTATTTGATGGAATCCGCTACTTCGGGGTGCCAACCCGATGAGCTCAATCTCGGGTTGACTCTACTTCGGTAGTAAAACTCAATCGATAAAATATGAATATAAGTTTTAAATAGTGGAGTTTTTTTTTGCGTGGAAACCTAAATTATGGAATAAAGAGAGTTCCCAAAATGATATTTTATAATTAGGCATTTTTCCCAAATTAGTTTATAATACGAAATAATTGCAAGGGTGGTACTCTTTGATTGAGTTAAATGCTTAGGTAAGTCCATCGATTAAACGTCCGTCAAAATGGTGATAATTAGGGAATTATTTTGGTAATTTTTATTGTCAAAATTTAGAATAACTTCCCAAGGTGGTTCTTTCTAATTGCCTGTGTTTCTAAACTAGTCCATTTCCAAATGAAAATTTATTAGAAAAATAAATTTTATTTTTCTGGGATGGGAAAATATAATATAAAAAATTTGAAAATGTAAACTTCAGATTTTTAAAAATTATTTGGAAGTATATCATGGAATAAAATGTTTCATTTGTATTTATTTTATCCCTTGGTTTCAATAGGCTCTTATTTTTGTTTACGATGTTTAATTGATGTTATTTCCGGTAAAATTTTGACTCCAAAGTGAATTAAACTTGAGGGTGCAATTGAAGGAGGAGGGATGGTGGGTTCGGGGCTAGGGGGGTGGAGGGGTTTATCGGTGGGGTTAGAAAGGGTAAGAATCATTAATTTTTACGAACGGAATATTGTATGGCTCCCGGGTCATCCTTATACAATAAATAAAAAAATTAAATAAAACTTCACTTACCTCAAAAAATTATGTCAATATGTTTTTGGACTCATGATATTTTTTTTGTTTATTTATGTATTTTCGTTGAATATAATGTTGTATCTATTCATACATATTTTTTTTCAACATATCTAAGCATAGATAGTTATCACCTCCATTGGGGTTCAAACTTGTGGCCTGCTATTTGGGAGAGTCGTTCTGATGCTGCTGTACTTTTTACGTAGTACTTTTTTATCAATTTGTAAATAAAATAATTTTTAAAAAGAGAGATTTTGCATGTTGTTTGAAGTGACACAAGATTTTTGGAATGGAGTTGTCAAATATTTCCATGTATTGCCTTTTTTAGTCAATTGCAAATGGAGAAAAAAAGGCAAAGTTGAAAAAAAGACTAAAGAGAATATACAACAATCCAATTGAATTTGACAAAATCAGGGTGTATGGACCCAAACATTATCCTTATTCAAAAGTACGGAGTACATATTATCTTTGTCTTAGAGTATTTGTCTAGTTTTGATTTTTTTTCAATTAACCATTTTTAACATTTGATCTTTAATTAAATAAAATATATATTATATATTAATTAGATAAAATAATATTTTGAAAATATTTTATATAATAGATCTAATAAAATTATTTTCATATCAATGTCTAATATTATTTTTATTTAATTTGGGGTTGAAATTTATCAATTTTGATAAAAAAATAATTAAAAGTAGACAAATGCTCCGGGACGGAAGGAGTAGACTGTATCCAAGTAGGGGATTGGGCCTTTATTGGGCTTTTGAAAATGAATCCAGTAAATACCCGGCAGATACGGGCCTTTAATGTCTGCCAGCATAGCTGAAAACTTCTAATGTCTCTTTCTCCCTCCTAAATTTTTGAGCTCTGTCGAAAATGGAAGCCTTAACGCATCCAAGCTTCAGAATATGCAGCACTACAAGGCTTGCGCCACCGCTCCTACCCACCGGCACTAAGAGACTCCGCCGATTCTCCGCCGTCACAGGAGGAGCTGGCGGTTCTTCCATCACCTTATCCGCCAGCAAATGGGCCGATCGCCTTCTCGCCGACTTCCACTTCCTCCCTTCCTCCTCCTCCCATCCTCCGGAACAGAAGAACTTATCTGGTGCTCTCACTCCCCAGCCGCTTGAAATTCCGGAGCGCCCCGTCTCGTTGCCCTTAGACTTCTACAGAGTGCTCGGAGCTGAAACTCACTTCCTCGGAGACGGCATAAGAAGAGCCTATGAGGCCCGCATTTCTAAGCCACCACAGTATGGTTATAGTCACGAAGCTCTAATTAGCCGCCGCCAGATCCTTCAAGCTGCCTGTGAAACCCTTGCGGACCCTAGCTCTCGAAGAGACTACAACCAGAGTCTTGCAAACCATGAATCTGATGCCCTTCTCACTCAAATTCCATGGGATAAGGTTCATTTCGTCTTGTTAATTTTGGATTCCTTATGTTTGAACTCTCGGGTTTTTTTCTGTCTATTCTATTGGAAACATATATGGATTTGCAAAGCTAAAGTATGTTTGTGGCCATACTTTCTAGGTTCCAGGAGCATTATGTGTTTTGCAAGAATCAGGCCAGGCTGAACTTGTTCTTCAGATCGGGGAAAGTTTGCTGAAAGAACGGCTTTCTAAGTCATTCAAACATGATGTCGTCTTAGCAATGGCCCTTTCTTATGTTGATCTATCTAGGGATGTAATGGCCATTTCTCCACCAGATTTTGTTAATGGTGCTGAGTATCTTGAAAAGGCATTAAAGTTACTACAGGTTCTTATTTCTTTTGCACTTTTTGTATAATACTTCTTCCTTCTTCACTTCATGATGACGATGAAATAAAATGCCTAAGCAATGTTGAAAGTTATTAACTTTTAACTTAGTCTCAAACACCTTGCTCTCCAGTTGTTCAGTCTTATAGCTTCCGAAATCTACCCATGTAGAAATCTGCTGTTTTCTTTAATTTCTTAGCAAGTTTCAACTACTCTTCCCTTTTTGAATGTAAGGGGGGTTTGATTCCCGTGTTATGCAATTTTGGGCGTTGAATGGCACCTTGGCGTTACCACTTACCAGTCTGTTACAATGAACAGGAAGAAGGTCCAAGTACCCTTGCCTCAGACCTACAGGCACAGATAGACGAGACACTGGAAGAGATCAACCCACGTCGTGTGCTAGAGCTTCTGGCCTTACCACTCGACGATAATCATCAAACGAGACGAGCAGAAGGTCTTCAAGGAGTACGTAATATCCTGTGGGCTGTTGGAGGAGGAGGCGCAACTGCCATCTCTGGGGGGTTTACCCGAGAAGGTTTCATGAATGAAGCCTTTCAACATATGACCGCTGCAGAGCAGGTGAATAATGTCAATCTCTTGTCAAAGTTTTGAATTCATGCCTTCTTTTTCTTCTCCTTTCTTATTTTTGATTGCATTTCTCTTAGTTTTTCTTTGTGTCTATATGGAACCAGAAAATATTAGTGAAAGAATGTGGGAAAGAAATAGTCAATGAAAATTATAAAGAAAAATTATGAAGGTAAAATAAATGCTTAAAAGTTAAAACTCAATAAGTTTATTTTAGATATATATTCATGCTCATTTTATTTATTTATCAATATTATGTCAATTATATAAAGACCAAGAATTCTGAATATGTTCATATACTCCCTCTGTGCCTGAATTTAGACGGCTTATAAAGTTCTCATTTCCTTCTTAGAACAAGTTGTGTGGTCCATTACATTTCTCATAGTATGCATAAATTTCAGCCACACACTTTTCACCTATACTACTCAGTGAAATCCCAAATGGGACTTTGAATGGGGGATGGAGGTAGTATTTTTTAGAATTTTGAAAAAAGTAATCATAGTTTGGTGCATTTTCCAATTAAAACCAAACATAATAAAATTACTTTCTTTAGGGTATGTTTGGATCTTGGAAAATGCTAGGTATAGAGATAAATTTGTTATGGAAACTTATACTCTTGTGCTTGGTTTTACCATGGAAAATGTAAAGGGAAGTGAAATGCGTTTTTATTTTTATTTTTTACGTGTTATATTTCTTGGCCTTTATATATGCTCCCTAATAGAAATAAACAAATAAATAGATTTTGAACAATGATAAAATATAAATTTATTGAGTTTGAACAAAAAACATGCATTTCAATCTCACTCTTTCCTTTTAAATTTCTACTATATGGTCAAACCTCTCTATAACATCCATAATTAGATCAATAGTGTCTTTGTAAAAGTGACCCTCTATGATAGCCTATCTTCATTGAATACTATACATGCACTATTGTACCGGCCCTTTTCTTTATGGTTAGAATTTCAGAGTTGGATGTTGGAAGAAACTGGAAAGTTGGAAAAAATTGGAAGGAGTTGGAAAATGTTAGAAGAATTTAAGTGTTAAAAAGTCACTCAATTAAATGATCATCAAAATAAATATGTAAGAAAACTTTAGTTTTGGATAAAAAAGAATTCATCATTGTTTGTGTTTGTGATATGTTTAAATTTTTTTTATATAATGTTATTTTATATTATTCATATATAAATACATTTTTAAGTCGTTGTTGGAAGAAACTGGAAGGAGTTGAAAATAACTGGAAGGTGTTGGAAGAAATTGAAAGGAGTTGGAAAGAGTCGGAAGAAGTTGGAAGTTAATTTCTCCAACCCAAAAGAATAGGGCCATATATTACTCATTTTTTAATAAAGAATCCTCTTTCATATTCTGTATTTAACCCCTAAGCCCAAAACATGAAATGCCTCTTTATTACTTCATATTACTTCTTATGACACAAAATATGAATCATTAGTTCAAACTTATCATTGCTAGGAAGCAGAAATTTGGAAAACAAGCTACATTTTTTATTTTTTCCCCCATTAACGGAATAAAATATATCTAAAACAAAAAAGTGGAAAATTGAGAGTGTACATATTGATTTATAATGGCATGTTGTTGTATGCGTATAACATGTTGTTGTGGGTGTATTGCAATCCTCCACTATAACATCCAAAAAAAGTTTCAGACAAATGAGGGTGTTATAGAGAGGTATGACTATTTTGTGCTCTCTTTTCTTTTCCTTGGATTGTCTGAGTTTCTAACAGTCTTTGTATTTTCTTTCCTATCCCTATTATTTGATGTAAAAGGTTGATCTATTTGTTGCCACACCAAGTAACATACCAGCTGAGAGTTTTGAGGTCTATGGAGTTGCACTTGCACTTGTTGCTCAGGCTTTTGTTGGCAAAAAACCTCACCTCATCCAAGACGCGGACAACCTCTTTCAACAACTTCAGCAAAGCAGAGTGAGCTCTGCACTAGAAAGGGGACTTTGCTCGCTTCTGGTGGGAGAAGTTTACGAATGTCGCTCATGGTTAGGCTTAGACAGTGAGGACTCACCATATAGAGATCCGTCCATTGTCACGTTCGTTCTTGAACATTCCAGAGTTGACAATGAAAATGATCTTCTTCCTGGACTTTGCAAGTTGTTGGAGACATGGTTGTTGGAAGTTGTGTTTCCCAGGTTTATGGAGACACGATCTATGCAAGTCAAACTTGGGGACTATTATGACGACCCAACAGTTTTGAGCTATTTAGAGAGAATGGAAGGAGTTGGCGGCTCACCTTTGGCTGCTGCTGCGGCTATTGCTAGAATTGGGGCCGAAGCTCATGCTGTGCTTGACAGTGTGAAGGCTAGTGCTATTCAGGCATTGCAAAAGGTTATTCCCCTTGGTGATGAACTAATTAGACATGACGTTGAAACTTATCCTCCTGAAAATGTCATGGTTGGTTCTTCTGATGGATTACAACTTTCTAACGAGGAGGAGAATGAAAGGATTGCTTACAGAATAAAAGATCTGGTTGTTAAGATTACATCTGCTGGTGTGGTTGTTGGTGTTCTAACATTAATTGGGCTGAGATTTTTACCACACAGGTCTGACACTTCTGATCTGCTACGTAAAGATGGTGGAACAACTATGATTTCTGAAGTTGTCAACGTAGGTAATGACATACTCCATATAATGTCCTTGTGTAGTGTTTCCACACATATTAATGAACTGTTAAAACATATTGGTACAACACAAGGGAGAGTCACACCCCAAAACCTAGCTATTAAGGTGGGAGAACACCCTTGGGTATATAAACCCTTCACCAAGCCCTCCATTTAACCGGTGTGGGACAATAAAATCAGTCCGTATCATTCGACCCCATAAGGCCCAACGTCCTCGGTCATGGCTACGTTGGTCACGGCCATGTTGATCACGGCTGGTTTCATTAAGCCACCACTCCGTGGGCCACCACTCCGAGTTGGCTCTGATATCATTGATACAGTACAAGGGAGAGTCACACCTCAACAGCTAGCTATTAAGGTGGGAGAATCCTTGACTATATAAACCCATCACCTAGTCCCTCATTTAACCAGTGTGGGACAATGAAATTAGTCCGTATCACATATGGATAAAATAAGTAAAAATGCTAATATGCACATGTGATAAAAATTGTAGTTAACTAGTGATAAAAGTATGTGAAGTTGTGTCTGGGACATATTAATCAAGCTTGAAAGCGTTAGTGGAAAATTTCAATAAATGTTCTTTTGATGTTAAATAACAACAAGTTTGAGACAGATAAAGCGGAGAAGTGACATCCTTTTTTGAACCGATTGATTCTCATATCTGGATATCTAAAATTTCTTTCTTGCTCTTATCCGCAGAGCCCTCAATAATTGAGATATCTGAGGAAGTTCCTAAAATGGATGCTAGGTTTGCTGAAAGCCTTGTTCGCAAGTGGCAGGACATTAAATCTCAGGCTCTGGGACCTGACCATTGTCTTGAGAAATTGTCAGAGGTAAAATAAACGACTTGAGATTAGTCGACTATATTACTTGTTCAAGTAGTGCTCACACACGCAACACAACACATTCACTCACTAACAGTATGTGAGGGACTGCAGTGTAATGGTGGAAAACCCATGTGGGCCCGCATGAAACCGAACCCATTGTCTTCCTCAAGACCGTCAGGTCACAGTCTAGTCGAATTTGAACAGCTCAGATGTGTGCATACAACTTTCATGATCTGAAAGTGATCTGACTGTCCTGAGAAACAGAATAGTCATTCTAAAGACAATCAACAAATATATACTCTCTCCGTCCCAATGTGTTTGTTTAGTTTCAATCTGGCACATAGACCAAGAATAAGAGAATAAAAGATGGAAGTGACATAAATGTCCTCTCTTTATGAGGGGGGGGGGGGGGCTCTAAAAGTAGTGTTAAGGATTAAATAGTCAAAGTGGACAAATACAAGGGGAATACATTTAACATCTTGGGTTTTGTCCCTTCACAATCCAACCACCTACTAAACACAAAGTTCATGTTGTGGCAGATCTTGGATGGTCAGATGCTGAGGGTATGGACTGACCGGGGGGCAGAAATTGCGCAGCACGGCTGGTTTTGGGATTACACCCTGCAGAACCTCACCATTGATAGTGTCACTGTATCTATGGACGGGCGGCGGGCAGTTGTGGAGGCGACGCTTGAAGAATCTGCCCGGCTGACTGACGTGGCTCATCCCGAACACGATGATTCATACGATACCACATATACAACAAGATACGAGCTGTCCTGTGGCAACTCTGGATGGAGAATTGTAGACGGTGCCGTCCTCAAATCTTAATGGTTTCTTTTCTTCCTTTTTCTTCTTCTTGGGTGGGGGTATTAGGCGTAATTTTTTTTATATGTAAATTCTGTCCTTGTTATTATTGTACTGCACTAGGTGAAGTACATTTTGATCCACCATAAGAATTTTACTCTAGGCTTTAATATTCTTAAGAAGCTACGAAGTTATTGACAAAAGATTGGGTTCGATATAATACAGGTAGTCGTTTCATGGGTAAATGTTCTTTGAGAAAAGTTTAAAATAAATTGGATTTAAAATAATAGTCTTGTTTGTACGTAATGAAAACAAATGGAATTTACGGTTAGAGCATAAGCTTTGCTTAACTTTAAAAAGTTAATGTGGATTGTGGAGCATATAAAGAGCTTAGAATAGTGGTTGCTTCATTTATCAATTCTTAATTTCAGTTAGTTTAAGATTGATTTACAATATTTACCAATAAGAGAATAATATGGATTCAAATATATAACATTTTATTTTTTAAAAAAACAACAATCCCAAAACTAGAGTTGGTTGAAGATTGGAATTATCCAAAACCACTAGACCAAGGAATGATTCAACCATTCAAGTTGTAATTCATTCCTTTTCACAAACCAAAATTGAAATCCGAACTAGATTGGACGAATTCCACCCCTACTATATGCTAAGGTAAAGGTAAAGGATGAAGTTTTCAATTTTCATCCAAAAAAGTAAGGGATGGAGTAATTATGAGTGTTACTAAATTTACAATTTTTTTTAATAAATACACACATTTTATCATAAATATACAGATATATTCTTAAAATTATAAAAATAGAAAGGATAACATGTAAACTAACGTAAGACTAAATTCAACAACATAATTAAAAAAGTAAAAAAAATGTAGGTGGGGGCTTCAAATCCTTTAATAAAAAAAGTCGGTGAATTGTGTAGTTAAGAAAGAAAGACACATCAGACATCCGAATTTAATTTCAGATAAAACAACTATATAAAGCATAAGACTTATACAAGTATCGATTATTTTAGAATTTGACAACAATCTATAATTTGTACAATCCAATATGGAGGGATTTATCTTTTTTAAAGAAAAGAGAAAAAAGAAAAGCTTTACAGTCAATAAGATTACAGCTAAGCGCCTAATCTTCAGTTTCAGTCAAAGCCCCCGTTCTCATTGCCAATCTTTGATCCCATTTCCAAACCCCCGATTCAATCTCAAATTCGACCTTCAATTCATGATTTAGGAGAACCTAGGGTTTTAAATTTTCGAAACCCTGATTTAATTCCAATTAGTATTAATTCTCACCGAGAGAGGGGAGAATGACGACGATGAGGGGGAGCAGATCTGAGAAGGTGAAGAGAATATTCCAGCAATTCGACGCCAACGGGGACAGCGGTCTGAATCGGGAGGAAATGGCCGCGCTGGTGGTCGCCGTCAACCCCCGCGTCAAGTTCAGCGACGAGCAAATCAACGCCATCCTCGACGAGGTCTTCAGGACCTACGACGAGTTCATCGACGGCGACACCGGCCTCACATTCGACGGCTTGCTGCGCACCTACGACGACGGCGCCGGCGACGTCGACCGCGACTTCGATGCTCTGGGCCTCGAGCTCAAGCCCGAAAACGACAACGGGATCTCCATCGCTTCCGAAGAGGCGTCCTCCTCCATCGCCGCCGACGACAGAGTGATGGAACCCCACAAAAAACAGAGGACCGCCGCCTGGGCCGCCTCGCCCAACCACGGTATAGTATTCGAGGACACCTGGAAGCTAGTAGACGACCTAGAAATCCTCATAAAGCGTCTCAAATCGAAGCAATCCAACAACGGGAAGCTGAAGAACGATAACTCCGACGTCTACTCCGATCCAGGCTGGTCTCGCGAATTGGGAGCTTCGGCCGAGATATCCGAGAAACGGGTGGCGTGGGACCACTCCGGCCACGACTACCCGACCTTCGTGAAGGATCTAGGCGTGCTGCGGTCCAGGGCAGACGGTGCCAGGTCAAGGGAAGAAGCTTTCGATGGCCACATGGCTTTGGGCAGAGTGTTATACGACCACCAATTGTTCAAGGAGGCTCTGGTGAGCTTTAAGAGGGCCTGTGAATTGCAACCGGCAGACGTGAGGCCTCATTTCAGAGCCGGAAACTGCTCTTACATCCTCGGAAACCACCGCGAGGCCAAAGAGGAGTTTCTTATCGCATTGGATGCTGCTGAAGGCGGGGGTAACCAGTGGGCGTATCTCCTCCCTCAAATCCATGTGAACCTTGGGATTGCCCTTGAAGCTGAAGGTATGGTCTTAAGTGCCTGTGAGCATTATAGAGAGGCTGCCATTTTATGTCCCACTCATTACAGGGCACTGAAACTTTTGGGCAGTGCCCTGTTTGGCGTGGGTGAGTATAGGGCTGCCGTCAAGGCACTTGAAGAGGCTATTTACATGAAGAACGATTACCCGGACGCGCATTGTGATCTAGCTTCGGCTTTGCATGCCGTAGGGGATGATGATGATGCGATCAAGGAGTTCCAGAGAGCCATTGATTTAAGACCTGGGCATATTGATGCTCTGTACAATTTGGGTGGGTTGTATATGGATATGGGGAGGTACCAGAGAGCTTCCGAGATGTACACGAGAGTCTTGGCTGTTTGGCCCAACCATTGGAGGGCTCAGCTCAACAAGGCCGTGGCCTTGTTGGGGGCTGGTGAGAATGAGGAAGCGAAGAAGGCTTTGAAGGAAGCTTTGAAATTGACACACAGAGTCGAACTGCACTATGCCATGACACATTTGAAGCAACTTCAGAAACGACGGCCGAAGGTGGGGGCCACCACGGAGGAGGCGGCGTTCGTAGCCGTCCAACTACCTTCCAAGTTCAAGACCGTGGGGGAGAGGACCACGTCAAGGCCCGAGCTGGCTGCCGCCCTTGAAATCAGGACTTTCCAGAGGGTCACAAGATTGAAGCGTTTGGACGTTGAGATTCTAAGCAAGGAAATGAATGAAAGTGAGGTTCCCCTTTCCTACTCCGGCGTCGGTTCCCCTGAGAAATCAATACGTAAGGCTTCCCTAGAGGAAATCCTCCGCAAGTTGCTCGGCTTCTTGAAGCCAGAGACGTTCATAGAAGCCATGAGAGCCATTAACCAGAAGATCCTCTCGGTTCTGGATGAGTCGGGATCGGGGAGGGTCGATCTGGGGATGTTTTTTGCCCTCCTCGCCCCTCTCTGCAACGGGACACCCGAAAGACGAAAACGGGTTGCGTACGACGCGCTGATATGGCGACCCGTGAACAACGAGGGCGGCCCGCGCATCAGGAAATCCGACTCCCGGAGGTACCTGAATCTCTTGAGAGCCGTATACTTATCCCCTTCACAGGGGACAAACGAGACGCTCGAGAGGGGTGAAACGGCCATTTCCTTCCAGGAGTTCCTCGCGATGTTCGACGATCCGGACCAGGGTTTCAGGATCATGGGCACCTTACTGAAGCTCGAGGGCGGGGACAGGAAGCGGCACGGCAGGCATTGCTGCGCGGCGTGTCGGTACCCGATAGTCGGGTCCCGGTTCAAGGAGATGAGATCAGGGGTGAGTGTGTGTGGGCAGTGTTACAGTGAAGGGAAAGTGCCACAGAGCTGCAGCAAACAGGAAGAGTTTAAGTTCAAAGAATATGCAACAGAGGGTGAAGCTGTTAAAGACAAGTGTTTGTGGTTTGGTTTGAACTCTAATAAAACCTCTTCTCCCACTGCCACTGCTACTGCTAGCTAGTTACTCAAGTTCTGTGTTCATTCTTGCCATTACCTTAATTTCATTTTGTGGGGATTAATGGTTGGGATTCAGTGCTGTAAAAAATGTTTTTAAATTCCATTTCAATCGCATGTTTAGTTGCAATGCCACAATTAAATGAATTTCTGCTTCATTATTTTGTAGAGGTGTTATGTTTAACAATTAACAAAATTTCCTCGTGTAGTTGTCAGGAATCAAAATCGAAACTTACTCCCTTTACACCTCTTGAGTCATGCCCCTATCAAAACACTTGCAAAAGCCCTATCAAAATCGAAACTTACTCCCTGTACTTGGCATAGTTGTATTCTAGTGTAGTTGCTAGAATTCGAATTTGAGGGTTTTCGCTTTGCACCAGTTGCATTGCCACGTGAGCCACACTCCCTGACAAAGCTTTGACGGAGACGGGAGAGTAGGAAAGGCAATGTCAAATGAAATTTTTTTCGGCAAGATTTGATTATTGGTGGTTTGATAAAAAATGATATTCTGAGATATAAAGAGTATATATTCATTAAAATATGAAAATTATACTCTAAAATTTTCATGTGTGTGTGTGTAATAATTTTTTGACATGTGAAGAAATTGTGATGAATTGGAGGGGGGTGGAAAAGTGAAAGGAATAGCTAAAGATGCTCCAAACAAACTAAGATCTTTTTATGAATTGACTTTGAGGTACTCCAAATATGACCTAAGTTGACACTATAATCTTCAGAACAGATATCATGGATACAAGACCATATTATGTGTTTATGATATCTGTCAAAGATTATGAATGAACTTATGATCACACTTAGAAAATTCTTAATGTAGCATCGTTTTACTTAAAAAAATAAATTTGTTTTTCTTCATTGATTGTCCAACCGGGCATGCGGATGGCCTTTTTTTTATTTAAAGCTAATGTAAAGGGGAAGAACTACTTATTTAGGGGCTGTTTGTTTCAGCCTCTTAATGGTTCAGATGTCTGAATGGTTCAGCACTTAATGATTCAGACTGTTTGTTTCAGCCTCTTAATGGTTCAGATGTCTGAATGGTTAAGACATTTGCCTCTGAATGATTAAGTATTATACAGAGTCTGAATGGTTAAGACCTCTTATCTGAATTGATCAGACATTTGCCTCTGAATAGTTAAGCAATATACTAGCTCTTAATGGTTCAGACCTCTTACTGGTTCAGCACTTAATGGTTCAGACCTCTTACTGGTTCAGCACTTACCAATTCAGAAGTTGCCAAACAGCCCTTAGTAAAGGCTATAGAGTAATTGCCTAATTGGTACTAGAATCAAATCCCACTAAAATGCTCCCCGGACGAGAACTTGCCACAAAGGAGGGAAATTGGAAAATGGGTATGATGACTCCCCACCAGTCAAACTGTTTTCAAAAGAATGGTTTGAAGTTGAGACAATTTTGAAACCCAAAGTTCTCAAATCTTTGGCTCCAGGGATCTTTCTCCCTGGCATTGATATATGGAAGCAGTAAGGAAACAAGCTACCAAGCTGAGAGAACGGGTCGCCAAACAACAGCAGGTAACTTAACAACCATCCCTATCCGAATATGAACAGTCGGGCGATGAACCCTAGTTCTGGTTCGCCAATTTGATTTCCTTCTTTTCCTAATTCTTCTTTTTCGCTTGTTTATTGTATAATTCCGTACACAAAGAGGTTCTATATTGCTATTTATGATTGTTTCTCTTTGTTATCTCTCAATATGATTTGATTCAGGCGTTTAATCTGTTATTTTAGAATCGCTTTACAATGGTTAAGGCAGTAGATGTTTATTTTTTTTTTGCTGCCTGTGTTTGATGTTCATTAGAATGATTCAATCATGATTTTAGGATGTCCTCAAAAGGTTTTCTGGCGGGGTGGGAGGCTCAGACAATGGCGTAACTGATGAAGCAGAGCTTCTGTTGCACAAAAAGCTCGAGAAACTTTACATTTCTACTCGTGCGGGAAAGGTCCTATTATTATTGTTATCTTTATTACATTTACTTCAATTTATATTCGGTATATTTTCTTTTTATCTTTTTTCACGTGTTGTGTTGGTATATGCTACATCTTGCCAATGACACAGCACTTTCAAAGGGATATTGTTCGAGGCGTGGAGGGTCACATTGTCACTGGATCAAAGCAAATTGAAATTGGTGAGTACTGTAGAGTCTGTGAAATGTAACTTCATTGCGGCTGCTAATCTTCAACCTCCTTAACAGGTACCAAGCTGTGTGAAGATGCCAGAAAATATGGAGCCGATAACACCTGCACTAGTAGTGGTACACTATCCAAAGCTGCACTAAGTTATAGCATGGCTCGGGCTCAAATGGAAAAGGAACGGGATAATCTGCTAAAGGCTCTTGAAACTCAGGTTTGGATTATCCTTATCAGTTACGGATTAGAATCTATGAGTTTATAGTATATTCTTGACCTCCGCTCCTTTTGGTGGTGGATTTGGTGAGCTGGCTGTTTTGTTTTATTCCATCAATTTAGGTTGCTGAGCCTTTAAGGTCAATGGTTGTGGGAGCTCCGTTGGAGGAAGCTCGCCATCTTGCTCAGCAATATGATAGGGTGAGACAGGAAGCTGAATCCCAGGTAGTGATTTGATTGCTATTAAGTTTCCAATTACTGGTATGTGCTAACTTCTTGCATTCTTTGCTTTTCCCAAAAATGCCAAAATAAATCATTTGGATAAGTATTTACACAAAAAAATGTCCATGTATTTTCATATCTGATTTCAGATATAGGTACCATTTGATTTATTTGATGTAATCAGCAAATCTACCTGCAGCATTCTGAAGTTCTATAGTTATAAATACCTTCTTTGAGCCTGGCCAGGCTATTGAAGTTTCAAGGCGGCAAGCTAGAGCAAGGGAATCAAATAGTAATCCAGATTATATATCTAAGTTGGATTCCGCAGAAATAAAGCTTCATGAACTTCAGTCGAATATGCTTAAACTGGGCAAAGAAGCTTCCTCTGCAATGGCTGCTGTTGAAGCTCAACAACAGAGATTGACCCTTCAGAAACTTATAACCATCGTAACTGGCCTCTAAACTTTCTTCTACTCTTCAACATCTCAATCTAAGATTTTTTTTGTTTGAAATCCTCTTTCCCCTCTTATGTTTTGTTTGAGGTTGAGGCGGAACACAGTTATCATCAGCGTATTCTGCAGTTACTTGATCAACTTGAAGCAGAGGTATAGTCTCTATTTAGTATGGTCTCTGTCCTATGGTGTAAGCTACATTTGGATTTAGCATGGTTTTCTAAATAAAAATATTACCAATTTAATCTTAAGAGATTAAAAATAACATGGGCCCCACAAGAAGTAAAAAGAGAGATAAAAGGATAGAGTGTGAAAGCAAAAGTTAATGGCACTAGGATTTGGAAAGCGAACGCGTTTTTTTGGACAAACTGAAAATGAAAGTGTATCTAACGGAATGGGTCGGAAGGAGTATGCTTTATAACTTTGGATGCATGTCTTAAAGGACAATTATGCTGTCACTTGTCAGTAGGACCTTTTCATGTTTAGTTGTTAATGTTACAATCGTGCATGTCTTTCCTCTGCTCTAGATGTTGTCCAAGCGTCATGGTAATGAAACTCTTCCCACTCCGCCACCGCCACCATATAATGAGGCTAGTGGTAAATTTATGTTTCAAGCACAAAATGCATCAGGGGATGGGACTAGCTACTTCTTGGGAGAGGTAACTGTTGATTATCTTTTATCTTTTTTTTTTTTTGCTTCACTGCTATTAGCAACAATGCAATCTCGTTTTGGTTTCGATCCTTTTACTTGTGCTTATCTTTTTCTTCTTTTCGGCAGGTCATGCATCCCTATCTAGCTGAGTCAAATGTAGAGCTCACTTTGTCAATTGGTGACTATGTTGTTGTCCGCCAGGTCTGATAAGCTTGTGTTTCTTTGGTACATAAGCTAACTGATAGCTTGAGAAGTTGTTCTTGATAGTAGTAGCAAGCAAAAGTAGCTGATAATTGGTTTCAAAAATCAAAGTGACAACAAAGGATATGCTCAAAAGAACAAAACAACAAACTGACCCTTCTTTTTTTTTGAATTCGCAACGTGTTGTCTCCCCCACGGTGTTGCATGCTACCTCCATTCTTTAATAATTGGTCTATTATGACTTTCATGATACATTTGGTGAACAGAGCATGATACATTTGGTGAACAGAGCGAGTATCTTGAAAGTCATAATTGACAGTTATTAAAGAACAGAGGAAGTATTTATCTAAACTTGCATCCATCTTAATGCTAATTGGAATTTGACACACATTTGGTGAATTCATTGATATTCTCAAAGGTGCGAAGCAATGGTTGGGCTGAAGGCGAATGCAAAGGGAGGGCAGGCTGGTTCCCCGTGGGGTATGTGGAAAGACGAGAGCACATTCTGGCAAGCAAAGTTGCTGAAGTTTTTTAACAAATGGTTTCCACCCAACATTCATAACTGGCCCCTCTCTATCTTGGAAGACTGCTACCCATATCTGTATGTATGTATCTATCTATCTATCTGAGCTTGTTTTTGTGATTGCCCGTCCCTCTCTGTATCATTAGTCATGTTCAACTCTAATGACACATGAAAACGAGACATATGTGTCTGGGGGTGGGGGGGGGCACATGGCACAAATTCTTTGTGTGACGGTGAAGCTATTTTTTGTGAGTATTTCTTTGTTGAGTAAATTATACTCCGTATAATTGGTCCTATATAACAGAAAGTTTTTCATATTTAGTCTTTTATTATCAAATATTACGTGTGTGGTCCTCTTTTTATGTGTTTTTTTCACGGATAATCCTTTTTTGATCTTCTGTCATGTTGGTGTTAAATAGAAGGCTAAAAGTGTAATTTCTAAACGATCATATATTCTGCTTGTCATAGTCACTGCCAGTGTCGTTTGTCAACTGGAGACGTTGTCCGCTGCGGGTCTACAGAGGTTCTCTCTTGTGAGAATCCTAGCCCACAATCATAGTCGTTATTGATGTGGTTTCCATTAAGCCAACATCAAAACACATCACTAGACATATGGTCGGCGTGAAATTACACTTTTTGTCCTCAGTTTAATACAAACATGACAAAATGTATTAAAAAATTATCCCTTGAAAGGTACCCACAAGAACCGCGAACACAAAATTTGATTATAGAAGATTAAATATGAAAAACCTTCCGTTATAATGGTCCAATAATAGAATTAAACTTCTTTGTTAACAATGTCAGTTAGAAGTTAAACGTCCACAAATCTACAATTGAACCAATCAAAAGAAGCAATACCAAAGGCTATAGATTTTGTGTGTGTAGTGTTAGCCACATAGCTACCCAACCTTTGGGGCACCTCTTGTCAATCTTCCTCATTCTCAACCTTCTTAGTTTGTTTTTTAATGTTCTATTCCCTCCCTCCCAATTTATAGTGTTTGTTCACTATTCACATGGTCAAACTTCATTCACTTTCTTTTTCTATTTTTGTTAGTAATTTGATAAAATAAAGTACTATTGTCACTACTAGTTTTGTAGATCTTTTGATGTACTCCCTTTGTCTACCATAGATCTTCCCAGACATTATTCACATGGTCAAATTTTACTCACTTTATTTGCTCAATTTTACTAGTCATTTCATAAAATAATATAGTCTTGTCACCTCTAGTTTTGTAGAACTTTTCATGTAGTTTATTATTATATAAATTTTATTTTAAAATTTACCTCCTATAATCAATTAAATTGAATTGATAATAAAGTCGGTCAAGCCTCGTAACGCGTAATGGGAAGATCATACATGGACGGAGGGAGTAGTATTTTGATATGTAATTTTCATTTTTTAACTCTATACCATTTGTCATAAAATGATTTGAAAATAATTTCAGTCAAGACAGATGGAGTAATTTTCTTCGTTTCTTGCTCTTTTTAAAAACGCGTTTTAAGAGTTATGATTTCTTTTCACTTTTTTGTAAACAAAAGCAAAATTCTTAATAATTACAATTGTTAAATTCTCGTTTTCATTGATTTAGAAAGAAAGCACGTCCAATCTTGAAGGAAAAAAAGGTCGAATCTCAATTCTCAACCTCCCGTACCGTTCTGAATGGAAAAAAGAAGCGATTCTTGTATCGGTTTCGGATGTACAATCAATTCTAGGAATGGAGTATATTTTGTAGAACATAGATATACAAAATATGTATGAAGTACTTTCTCTGTCTGAAATTAATGTTTCATTTACTCTTACAATTTCCCGATTACTCATGTTTGTATATTTGTTTTTGCTGATCATTTGGTAAAATAAAACATTCTTGTCATCTTTTGTTTTATAAAATTTTTGATGTAAAGAGGGAATGCTTATTTGTCCAGCAACTTTCTTCTCACAATTTTTGTTTTGGCTATCTTGAGATTTATTTCTCGTTATTTATTAAAAGAAGTATTTGTGTGGCTCATTCTCCATATATTTTTTTCACTTCTCCATCTTCCAACATTGCAAAATTCCTTTTTTTTAGTAAGCTTCATTTTGAGACGAATGAAGGTATAGAACATAATTATTAAGAAAACCAACATTAAATGATTGAAATTAAATTTCTTGGTCATGCAGTCCTCTATATAGTAGTTACTCCTGCGTCCTGAATTAAAGTTAGTTTCACATTTGATCAAACATAATCCATCTTGAATTAAAGTTTCACATTTAATCGAACATACAGTAAATATTTAGAAAGCCAACATTGGGTGATTGAAATTAGTGCTTAAGAGATTAAAAGATGTGAACTTCATAATCATTTCTGTCAAAGGGACATAGAATTTCATTCCAAACACATAAAAAAGAATATGTGAATGGTAGGAAAAAAAAGAAAAGTGTGAAGTTTTTTTCTGGACAAAAGTGATATAGAGAGTATACTTTAGCACATGTTTTACGTACAAAGTATGAAATACTTCACCATTTATAGGGTCAAATTATGTCTTCTTTCATTACATGGTTGCGTTAACCATTTTTTTAAAAAATAAATTCTTCATATCACCATTTCTTTATAGAATTTTGGTTGACATTTTCTACTATGTACAAATTTTATTCTTTCAATTTGTACCAATATTCAGATTAATTAAATTATAAATAATTTGGAGCAAACATTATAAACTAAAATAAGGTCGGAAGGAGTATTTTTATGGAAATAGTGAAAAACAAGAATGAGTGTAGAACATAGAAAAATAACCAGCATATGACTTTCATATTTTTATCTCAAAATAAAATATATAATGACAATAATAATGTTAACTAATAATACCCAAAAATATTATAAAATATATATCAATATATAGTGTCAATATTCCTATTTTGGGATGAAATGATTCTTTTAGATAAACTTAGGGTGCCCTTAAAAAGGTGTCCAAATTCTACCCTCAATCATTCTTATTCTCACACAGATGACTATATGATTTTTTAAATGGTACACCGGATCTATTATCTATAAGAACAAAAATGAATCCATAAAATCTTATCATTCTGAGACATCTAACATGACTCCATCTGTTTGCTATTCATATATGTAAAGATCTCGAGAAATGATATTCGTATTTCCATCTTTTATCTTCGCACTCCAAAGTATATTACTCATTTTTCACATGTGAAGTGTAATTTGGAGTGTCAATGCTAAAAGATTCTTTACGTAAACATTTTTCCTATTTGTTTCATATATATATTTTAATTTACCCATATATACTCGTTAATCGTTATTCTAATGAATAAGAAGAGTACGTAATCAATAATATTATTTGATGAGCAAGAAAGGTGTTGTTAAAAAGAGTATCCCACATCGAAACTTGGAGAGAAAATAAACCGGTATATAAGCCCTTGAGTTGAACTAACTAATCGATTGAATTCAATCTTTTAATGTGGTTCAACCCAAGTGTCTTATTGCCCAATCCAGTTGTCCATACCCATCTTAAATTCTATCATGTACCCAACGGCCTGTGGCCCGTTTAACCCGATTGTACGTCTGGAAGTCCATACCCAACATCTCGTGGTCCTTTAGGTGTTGGCGCTCAAAAAAAAATCAAGGGGATGGGAGTCCATTTGCAAGTGGTCAACCGGTTAGATTCAAAATGGCCCGGTTGTCCACTTGAGGGGGAGTCTTAAAAAGAGTATCCCACATCGAAACTTGGAGAGAAAATAAACCGGTATATAAGCTCTTGAGTTGAACTAACTAATCGATTGAATTCAATCTTTTAATGTGGTTAAACCCAAGTGTCTTATTACCCAATCCAGTTGTCCATACACATCCTAAATTCTATCAGGTCTATTATAAATATAAATTAAACACTCTAAAGTGACATCTTTCCATGGAGTTGCAACAATAATGATTTTATGATATGATAATTGACGGATTCAGTAAAGGACAACGTTAACATTTCAAAAGGGAACTTTTCGAGCTGGACCAACCAGAAACCCACCCAGTTTTTCCCCGGTAGTCCAGTCTGGCCACACTCTGATGATCGATCATATGAGCGCCACCGTACCATCTTCTCCGACCAGCCCTCCGGCCGGCTGTCGGCAAATCCGGCTCTCTCCCCTCCATTAATTATGGCCGGAAAGCATTCAATTCAATGAAAAAAAGAAAGAAAGAGACATGAAAGAATTTATATCACCATAAATGGTGATAGGATGTGACTTGAAAATAATGTGTGTAAATGCAACTTCTTGAACACATTCTCCCAACTCTCTTTTGGGATAGCGATTGGGATGTTCGTTCAATCATCGGATCTAACGGATTGAAATCACCAGATTTTCAAACCTTCCCAAAATATTTTCTATTCTTCATTCGTCCCAATTTAAATCGTCTCTTTCGGTTTACTGAAGATATTTTTAAATGCATTTTATTAGAGAATTAGGGCAGAACTAAAAAAAAATCTTACATATTAAAAACCTACATTGAAAGCTCTATTGAACAAAATGTGATATTATTATATTATTTCATCAAATAAGTAACAGGAAAAAAGTGAATAATATTTTACCACAAATTGTCACAAGAGTATATTTAGAGCCTGAATATTGGAAGGACATGAAAAAACTTGAAAAACAGGAAGAAAAACTTGAAAAAGCTGGAAAAACGCGTAAAAGACTAAAACAAACTCGAAAAAACTTCCAAAATTTATTTGAGTGTATTTTTCATAGTATTCTTATTATGATTATTATTCTTGTTATTGTTGTTAGTAGTATTATTATTATATTCATAATATGTAAAGAAAAATTGAAATAATTTAAAAACTATAGTTATAGTCATAATAATAATAGTAATAATAAACGAAAAATATATTATTTTGGGAGTAAAAGATTGAAGGAAATGGAATAGTTGGGAAAATTTTAAGAATCCGGAAAAATTGAAAGAAACTGGAAGAAACTAGAAAAAACTAGGAATTTAGGTTCTCTCCTTTTAGTATATTTTCCCTTCTCATTTGCTTTTCCTTTCACTTTTCTTTTCTTTTCCTCTCTAATCAAACATGTTTTCCATCTCATTTTGCATTCTTTTCCTTTTCAGATTCCTTGAACTAAACATAGTGAAAAGGCTATCGTCGAGTAGATTTTTTAAAACGTTAACACTAATCTCTAACGCTGATGTCAAACGAAGCGAATGGAGAAGTAGTCCTTGTTTATTTGGGGATGGGGAGGGAGTAGTTCGTTGAGATTGTTGCATAGCTAAAATAAATGCAAGTACAAAGTACCTTCTTCATTCACAATTTCACATTTCATTCCCATTCCCACATGCGTGCATTTATATATGTCACCCCCCTCCATTAACTCATTATTATATATATGTTCGGACAACAACTTACATAGCTACATAATCATCCCCTCATCTTTTGTCCTCCCAATTTATTGTGCATCTTCTCGTTCATATATATGATTTATATTGTGTTAGTTGATAATCCTTTTCTATGTCTTGCATAAATCTCAATCATGCACTTAATTAATTAAAGTGGATGGATGGATACTATATATAGTAAAATGGTGAAAATGGCATGAAGATTAATTGAGGTAGAGTAAAAGAAATGTTGGCTAAATTTGTCAAACTAATCTTTTAAATTTAATTAGTTAAAGAATCTAATAGGCTAAGAAAAGAAAAAAAACAAGTGTAAATAATCAATTAAGAAGTACGGGGAGAATAGTACTCCCTTCGTCTTTAAATATTTGCCACACTTGTATTTCCGAGGTAAAATATCAAGTTTTTTTAATTCTTTTTATTTACATATTGGTATAGAAATAAAATATAAAATTTACATATCAAAAAACTACATGAAAAGTTATTCGAAATAAGAGGTGTCAAGAGTATTTTATTTTATCAAATAACCAATGAAAACGAAGAAATAAACAAAAATTCCTGCGACTGCTGAAAAAGCAAACATTGCAAATAATTTGGGACGGAGGGAGTATTATCAAAACACATGAAGTTCAAGATAAAATGAAAAAAGGCAACCCCAAAAGGTGGACAATGACGACTTCTTGTGCAAGAACATAACATCAGGCACAAGAATCATACCAAGTGACAGATGTCTTTTTTTTAAAAGCTAAATCCACCAAAAATTAAGAACAACATTTAGGAATAATAATAATCTGGATTTGAATTAACATTATCTTTGTATTTTCTTTTGGAATACCAAGAATAATGTACTATACAAAATGAACATTCAAAATGAAAAGAAAAGAACTTAATTTTCTCTCATTCTTTTCATCATACGGCAAGAAAATCTGTTTTTCTCTTTAGTTCATTTCTTCTTGGAGTTCTTGCATTTACTTTTCCTTCTACTCCTTTTTTTTCTTTTCTCATCAACCAAACAAAGAAAACTATTTTTCTTTTTACTCTTTTTTTTTCTCTTTGAATCTCCTTTAGCCAAAGATAATGTAAATGTTTTTTCTTCTTGACTACCAAAAATGATGTCTGGGTCTCTTGAAAGAAGAAGTTGAAGATGGACTCATCTGTGGAACTGCAAAAGAGTTGTCATCTGTCCACTTCATGGTCAACCCATTTTGAGCTGCTGCTGCTGCTGCAAAACCACCAAATGGAAGAGATGATGATGATGACTGTGGGACCCCCCAAATCCCCTCCTTCTCTGTGCAGATGCTTCTCTCAATATCCCCATCCCAAAATGGCAACATCATCAGCCCATCATTATCACCCATCTGCAAATCATCCCCAAGATCTTCACTTTTTACAGTAATTAGTCATATTAGAAAAAGACTGCTGTAAATAAAGATCAAATAATCAAGAAATTCTTCTGACCTTAGATGGGCAGATTGAATATGGAGAAGATGAATCAAGAAGCTCTTCGACGCCGTAACCGGGCAGGGTCTCCAAATACTCAGATAAACTGCTGCTGCTGCCCGTAAAACCATGGCAGTTGGGTTCTGCGGGTTTTGCCACTGTATGGTGGATGCGGGAAACAGGGGAAGGTGAAACCGCCGCCGCCGCCGCCTTGTTGGAGGATATTTGGGACTTGGAGGGCGGAGGAGAGCAGAAGAGATGGGAGGCGGCGGAGATCTTGACTCCGGAGAGAAGAAACCTGTCGTGTTTCTTGGTGTGCTCGTTCGATCTGTGTACAGAATCGTCGCAATCTGTGCACAGAATCGCCCTGTCCTGCTGGCAGAACAAGAATCCTCTTTTCTCCTGAAAATTGAGAGAGAGAAAAGAAAAAAAAAGTCAAACCTGCAAGAAAAAAAGGGCGGGGGGGAATGGAATGTGCAGTGTTTTACCTTGCAGATGTCGCAGAGAGGGGATTGGGGCGGGTGGAGGAGGGAGAACCGGCGGTGTTTCCCGGCGAGTTTGTTGGCGTGGTGGACTCTGCGGTCACAAGCCGGGCACAGGGCGGCATCGTCTGCGATGCAGAAGAAAGAAGCTTCGTCTTTGTTGCAGACGTCGCACTGGATCTTCATTATTATTGTCTGATCAAGAAGAAGAAGATGATGATGGAGGTGGCAGCAGCTAATTAAGGTCAGTGGGGGAAGAGTGAAAGAATGGAAGAGAAATATGGGGATGTTATATAGGTGGACTAATAATGGCTCATCCTCTCTTCTTTTCCTCTTCTTTTCCTCTCATAAACACCTTATTGGTATTGAAAATTGGGGCCGTTCTCATGATATTGGAGATGAGATGATCCGGGAGGTGTTCCATTTCCTTATCCCCTTAACTCATGTGATAAATCTCTCCACTCTGCCTTGCTCCAAATCGTTATTGTTTGGTTTCTATTTTGGTTTTCAATTTGAAAAAATCGACCAGAATAAACCAAATTTTCTTAGGTTATGGAGTGTGCCACAGCGGGCAATGGTCCAAAGGCCTTTTTTAAAAACTTAGCCGTTATGTTCTAAAAAAAATTCAAAAAATCTTAAAATTCTAACTATTTAAACACAACACTCAACTCATAATTTTCACACATTTCTCATCCATTTTTTTGTGTTATAGTGCTATTTTTGTTTTAAAAAAATTATATATTGAGTGTAATAATGGATACATTTTAACCACCAGTGTCTTCCTTCGGCTGTCCATTTCCTTCATTTGTGACTTACTCTCAATGGCCGACATCTTTCCAAATGCAATCATTTCAAGCGGGGATGTTTTGCTTTTTTATTATGTTTATTTTTAATATTTATTCTTATTTTTCTTTTAAAAATGTATTGTTTTATGCACTATTATTATATTTCTTAGTCACACAATTATTGTAGTTCTTGTTTAAATCTCATATTTTCATAAAATGTTCAATTTATATTTCTTAAGATGTTTAATTATTTTATAATTTTAATGTTTTTAGTTTATTTATTTGAATTAAAATAAGTATTAAAAAATATTAAAATTGAAGGGAAAAGGGGGGAGCATTTCTATGAAAGGGGAAAGGTAAGGAAAAGTAAAAGCCGACTTGACGCTGAGTTGGGAGGAGGGGAAAAGGGGGAAAAAATGGGCACACCCCATGACCTCAGGTACTTCGCTTTATTTATATGAATATATGTGATAAGCAAAAAAAATCATAGAAATATAAATGTAAATAATTGGTTAGTCGGTTAAAATTATTTTTCTTAACTACGGAGTATTAAACATTTTAAAGTATATTACTCCCTCCATCCAAAAATTTCTTTCGCGGTTTGACTTGTCACGAAAATTAAGAAAAGTTAAAAAGTATAAAGACTTTCCATGTGTTGCCCTTGATGTGATGAAATAAGTGAATAGTATAGATAAAAAAGTGGGGCTATAATGGCACATTCATTAAACGTTTTTTGCCAAAATAGAAAATGGGAAATAAATTTTTGGACGGTCCAAAAAAGAAAGTGAAAAAGAAATTAATGGACGGATGGAGTATAACTATAAAAAACCTATGAAATATAAACACTAATAATTAATCCTAATACGAAATTATACTAACATTAAAATTTGATACGAGTAGTTTACATATTTACATGAAAAAATTTTGATGTTATAATGGAAATAAAAGTATTATAACAAAAAATTCACGCAAATCTTTCATAATTAATATTTACATATGAAGACTTTGGGAGTGTTTGGAATATATAGATGTTTATCGTACACTCGACACAATTTTTTTTTGTAAATTTGTTTTTGTGTAAAGATCAAACTGAAAAAGTCAAAATCAACCCTACACGTTGTTATTGGTTCATCGAGTTAGTGTTTTTACAATTTTTTAATGCTTATGAATTTTTATTTTTAAAAATTGAAAAAATCAAGGAAAACCCGCATAAAACTAAAACAAATAAAGTCGGTCAAACATCGTAAACATAAACGGGAAGATAGTTTTAGAACGGAGAGAGTATAAAACAAAAGTTGATAATAAAGTCTTGTGTGACATTAGCGTTAGAGGTTAGTGTTGACATTTTGAAAATGTTATCTGATGATAGTTTTTAGCATTAACTTTTTCAGAATTAATCTATAACATTTAAATTTTATTTAAAACCACAACGCTAATTGAAAATATTGTTCTCAAACAAGGACTAAGTATTTAAGTGTCCAAAACTTTCTCAAAACTTAAAGAGAAAGAAATAAAGAAAATTTAATGTGACATCTGGATTGACATGATAATATTTAGCTTCGTATTTCATATTTCTAAATAGTCAACTCGTATCTGTTTTCTTATTCATTTTCCATTATTAGGGAGAATTTAATAAAATTAAATAGTCACATGTTTCTTATTTTGAAACATTTTATATAAATATTTTTAACTAGATTAATTTAAAAAAATTATTCGTAAGTTTTCAAATCACAAGAAAATGAAAAAAGTCAAACATTATAAATTGTACCACTTCATCCCAATTTATATATACTTTTATCCCAACTTTGATCATAAATTATGAAAAAATATATTTAATTAAAATTTAAATTAGTTGTAATTGGATTTATTTTTGGATATAGTTTTGATATATTGAGTTTTTTTTTATAACATTTTAAATTATACAGAGTATTTCATTTGTTATCAAACTTAGCATGAAAATCAAACTAGGATAAATAATGTAGGAGGAGTATTACTTTTATTTTTTGAACATTAATTTTTTTGATCAACAAGGAGGGGGAGACCCCGAGCTAGTAGCCTCGTGAAGTGGTGGTAGCGTGTCGCGTAGTGACTCTCATCATATCGTCAGTACTCAAGTTTCCAACTCTGCATCTGCAGTAGGGACCTCAAACGTTCTCCATGAAATATCTTGAAAAGCCCCAAGGTTAGCAAGACAATCCGCAACCTTATTTTGTTCACGCAAGATGGCTCTAAAGCTGATTTTATGAAATCTGTCTGTCCAACTCTTTATCGCTATAATGGTATCGCTGATGGGTCCCCTCAAGCTGATTTTTTGAACATTGTTAACTCTATTATACTCCGTATTACAACAACAATAATCTAATAGAATCTCACAAAAGTAATATCTAGAGAGAATGTGTGTATGTAGACATTCCTTACTAAAAGTAGAGAAATTGTTTCTAAGAGATCCCTAGATCAAACAAAACAAAAATCAAGTAGCACAATAAAAATAAATTGATTGCTACCTCCGTCCTTGACTCCTTGAGTATTTGTCCAGTTTTGACTTTTTTCAATCAATCGATTTTAACCTTTAACATATAATTCAATAAAAAATATATTGTATTTTAATTAGATAAAACAATATTTTGAAAACATTTCATATAATTAGTCTAACAAAATTATTTTTGTATCAATATCTAATATCATTTTTATTTAATTTGATGTCAAAGTATACAATTTTGACCAAAAAAAGTCAAAAGTGAACAAATACTTAAGGACGGATGAAGTATATTGTAGTAGAACTATTACTTTCACCAGGAAAAGAACATTGACATCATGTATAAGAGAGTCACCAACATACCGTCCGACCACAAGATCTTTAGTTCTTAATATTTTTAATATGGAAAATGCTAAGGGTACACCAAAGGTGTACTCCATTTGTCCCCCACCCCCTTCATTACCACTTAAATAGGCAAGAAATTTAAAAAAATTAAGTAAATAAAAATAAAAAATAAATGAATGATTATAGAGGTGGTGGTGTACAAATGGGGTACACCCTAACATCTCCCTTTTAATATTCCTAATAATGTCCAAACTTTATTTTTCCACAGAGAAAGATGAATTATAAATACAATAAATTGCATCGGGTCTTCATTTTCATTGAAGAATTACTCCGTAATCAATTCGTCAACTTTACTGTTTTCTAGTCCGTAATCAATTCTCATAAATACGTAGCAATGTTTAAAAAAATTAAAGGTAATTGAAAAAATTAAAACAAGACATGGGCAATAATATTTTAGTCTATTACTCCCTCCGATGTTCTACTCATTCGATTTTTCACGATCTCTAATATTGTGCTTTGACCATTAATATCTATATTTATACATACATATATTTTATAAAAATTTGATATTTGAAAACTGTGTTTCATTATTAATATATTGATATTAAATTTACATTATAATATAATGTGTTTTTCCACAAATCGTAGTCAAAGTTTACAAACTTTGACAAGGAAAAGTCAAATATGAAAAATATTTTCAGACGGATGGAGTAATAAAATAATAGCAATATAAATAAAAAAATTATTGAAATGTCAGAGTAATATTGTGCAATTCATTCTGAGATAGATGAAGTAACTTATTGATTTGGATACACATCATTGTATATCTATATATGTCAAAATGTCAAAAAAAATCTCCCTGAAGAAGAGTGAAATACATAATAAAAAATTTAAAAATACTAAAATAAGAGTCATAAATCTTTTAAAAATTAAGATGAATAAGAATATAATGATAGTGTAATGTAAGAGTGTTGGATGCGTGATGTAAAAATGATGATTGTGTAGTATGTATGACAGTGTGATCAGTAAACCGCCAACAGACCACCGGTTAATGTCGGAAATCGACGTCGGCACTCTGGTTAGCTCACAACAATGGATAGAAGTGTGCCAGTTCAAAAAATACAATTAACATTTAGTTTTTGTGTATTGTCTTTGATTACTTGATGAGATATAATATTCTTGTTACCTCTTGTAGAATTTTGATTATACTTTATAAACATATAAATTATATTTTTTATTCATATACTAATTTTTAAATAAAATCAATCGAAAAAACTTAAAATTTTACTTCATTTTTCGTAAGGTGTAATTTATTTAAAGGGAGAAAGAGTATATATTAATGGATCATACAAATTCTAAAATATTTAAAATATAGAGCTATGTGTGGATGCTTTGATTACCCCGCCCCCCTTTCCCCCTCCCTCGCCCTAAGGCTATATATAGTGTTTCACCACTGCCTATTCCAGAGTAGTAGTAATTTAACATCACATCAATACTGGCTGTACTCACCATTTCACTTATTTTCACACCCCTAGTGTCTCACCATCAATGTAACAACTACACTTTTATTTATTTTTAAATAATTACATATTTCTGTTGAAATTAAATTCTACTATGTATTATGTATAAAATAATTATATAGAATAATAAAAATTTATTTCGTTATTATTACGGAGTATTATTATTTTATTTTCATTATTTTTTCCATTATTAATTTTCCCGTTATTCATTCTTCCTTTTTTTATATTATAACAAATTAATGCACCATTAAACAAAAGACAATTAATTTTTAAAAAAGCACATATTACATGAATAAAAGAAACGTATATGCATGCATTACTTCAATTGCGAAAAAAACGTGAAAGGAAAACATGAAAGATATGGTAGAAATAAAAACATGATGAGTAAATTTTTAAAATGATACTCAATAAATACGTGTTTTTCCGAATTAGTCCATAAGATAAATTAATTACTGAGATGGTGCTCGTTAATTGAAGATAGTGCCCAGTTTAATCTCCCAACTAACTGCCATGAAATGGCGTCAAAACGATGTTAAAACTTATTTTTATTTTTCAAAAGATAATGCATGAATATACATTTTAAAAGAATCGGTCATACCATCCCACTTTTGATTACAATCTTTTTTTCTCTCACTTCTCCATAACTTTTATGTATTTATGTGTTTTCATTGATTATTTGATAAGGTAAAATATTCATGTCACCTCTTATTTTGTACTCCTTCCGTTCTCAAAAACACTTCCTCTTTCATTTTTTCCACTTCCAATAAAACACTTTCCCTTTCTATTAAAAAAACCACTTTTTACCCTTACTTTTTCATACCCTACCTATCACATCATATTTTTTCTCTAATAATCTATCCATCACATCAGGGGCAAAATTGGAAATCAACTATAATTTAACACTTCCTTATTTTTGCCCCCAAATCAAAGTGAGAAGGGTTTTTCCAAACGGAGGGAGTACTAACTTTTGATGTAGTTATTGATCGAATATGTAATTTTTATTTTTTTACCGATATACCAATTAGTAAATAAAATAATTTCAAAAGACATGAGTTTTTGACTCGTAAACACTAATTTGTAATCAAATTCGGGACGGGGAGGAAGTATATAATCTAACAAATATTTGGGGAGGAAAAAAGTAAAAACGAAGGAAGTACATGAATTAATAATGGATAAAGCTACTTGTACCCCAATTTGTACCCCGCAGTTTTGCACCAACATTTTGTGTTGGTGCACAACTAATTTTTGTTAATGCACCAACACTTTGTGTCCGAGTAAATTTTTGTTAACGCACCAAGATTTGTGTTAGTGTAAACCATCAAAATGTTTGTGTATAACTGCGGTGTACAAATTGGGTACATTTTTTGGTGTAAATGTAGCATGGTCCATTAATAATAGAGTGGGAAGTAGACAAGATATATAGAGCGGAGGAATGAAATTTGGTTGCAATTTAACGCATCCAGGTCGAATGGTACTTCATGTGATACAGTTTGACGGTATGGGGTACTGACTGTATGTATGTATATGGGTCCGTGGGATCCCCAATTTCACATTTTGCTTTAAGCTATGGATCGGATCGGATGAGATAACGTTGCACAGCAAGAAAGAAAGTGACTAACTCCATATCGGTCTCTGGGCCCCCAAATCTTTATTCTACTCTCTTTTTTTTTTGCTCCCATAAATGTTTAGAGGAAAATGATATTTTAATTACTGATTGATAACAAAGAATAGATCCTGCACTTGAAACTTACAGAGACCATATATCTCCTCTGAAATCAAGAAGGAAAAGAAAGAAAATTGTTTTTCTCTAATTTTTCTTACAAAAATAGGAAGAATTTGATTTTCTTTTCATTAGTACATTTGTGTCTTCCCATTTTCTTTTCTATTCACTTTTTGTTTTTTTTCCTTCTCTAACCGAACAATTTCTTTTTTTCTATTTGATTTTCTTTTCTTTTTATTTTCAAATTCTTTAAACTAAACATAGTGTTAAGTTTACTCTCTTTTTTTTTTGAAAAATGATTTCCACTTTCTCTCATCTTTTGGTATTGTTTTTTAATCCTATCTTACGGAGTATTTGCTTGGTTGGTAAAAAAAATTGCTTCATTCAGACAATTAGATCTATGTGCGATGTCGATGGGCTGCCTTTATGATCAAATTTCTTCATTCGCATGTATTTTATGGGCTGCTAAACAGCCCATTTAGTGTTGGCCCGATTTTCTTTGGTCCTTTGTTGACGCGGAAGCAAAAACTCGAGGATAATGCCATTGCCACTAAGCATGCGATTAGTGCCTCAATTTCTGGAAGGCCCAAAATTAGACATTGTTTTCATCATTTTATTATATTGAATGGCCCAACTTGAACTCCACTTTGATCAAAAATTTAAAATTTTAAATATGGACAAAACCATAACGTCAATTTTGCAACTTTGGAGGAGGTCTTCTTTTATGCTAGTGGTTTTAACTTATAAATTGTTTATAAGTTAAATATTTTTTCGTGAAGATAAAATAATTTAATTATTGATAAGCTATTTCAAAATATTCATAAATGGCGATAAATAATTTTGTAAATTATCTGGTCAAAATGAATAAATGAAAAATTGCTTTAAAAATAAATAGGTATTTCGAGTATATTTTTTTCTAGCTTTGAACAATTTAAAAATTAAAGATAAACATGTCATTCGCTGACTTATAAGTTAAAAGTGCTTATAAGTAATTTGACCAAATTATAAGTAAAGAGAAGCACCACTTGATGGTCCCTTTGTCAAAGAAAGAGACATTAAAAATAAAGAGCCATGCTAGGGGTCCACCAAATGGTGTATCCCAATTGTACACCACACATCTTTTTTTATTTTTATTTATTTATTTATTTTTGAATTTCTTGCCAATTATTGTGGACAAGGAGGGGTGGAAGACATTTGGAGTACACCTTTTACCCCTAGCATTTTTCAAAAATAAAATGAAGTGAATAACTTTAACAATTACATTAAAAAGAATTTATTGTAAATAAATTTTAAAAAATAAAATTTACATGCTTAAAAATTATATTAAAAAAATCTATAAAACAGAATGTAACAAGATTAATTCAATTTATTTAATGAATAATAAAATAAACAAACAAATTTAACTTGAATAGTAAATATGATTTTTTTTTACTGCGTAAAAAAAATTGAAGTAACAATGTGGCAATTTTTTGTTGGGACTCTGTGAGTTAAATGTCTATGGATCAATTGCAATTCATTCATCAGAAAACAGCCGGCTGGCGAGCCTACTCATCCTCCTTCTTCCCCGTCATTGCCGATCTCCTTCAGAAATGTACCCTTCATTACAGATCTGAACGCAATTGATCCTCTGCGTTCAAGCTAGATTTCCAGATTCCTGTCCGGGGGAGGGGGAAGCCTTTGAACGTTGAGAGGCGGGCACTGGAAGGGGAAAATGTTGACGAAGTTCGAGACAAAGAGCAATCGAGTGAAGGGTCTGAGTTTCCACAGCAAGCGGCCGTGGATCTTGGCAAGTCTCCACAGCGGTGTGATCCAGCTATGGGACTACCGGATGGGCACCCTCATTGATCGCTTCGACGAGCACGATGGCCCCGTTCGCGGCGTCCACTTTCACAAATCGCAGCCTCTCTTCGTTTCCGGAGGTCCGATCCTTGATGCTTCTCTCGATTACTCCCTACTCTCTTTTTTATTTTTCTCTCTGTAATTTCCATTTGCGAATTACGAGCCCTGGATCTACAGATGAGTTTGTTCACTGTATGAGTGACTCCGCTTGTTTGCCCTGCTGTTTCTCTGATTTCTCAAATTCTTCCCTGTGGCGAGTTGCTCAGAACGAGGATGTGCTTTTTGCTGCGTGGGACTATAGTAAACTAGTATGCTGTGTTTGATCGTGTTAACTGTAAACATTTTAGATCAATGGAACCAAATTAGATTTGAGCACAACCTGTGATCTATATATCCCCTATGCGTTAAGTATGCTATACTCCGAATAAAAACAGGAGAATTCCTTATGGAAGTATATCTGAAAATGACTGTACTCTATTTATATTCATGCCTTTCCCTCATCAATGGAGCCAAGGGGTCGTTATTAGTACCACATTATCATTGGCAGTTCCTGTCTGTTTCTTTGTTCTGAAAATGAAAATGCCATTTTGAATTACTTACATGGGTATTGGTTATTGCAGGCGACGATTATAAAATCAAGGTATGGAATTACAAGCTGCACAGGTGCCTGTTTACCCTCCTTGGGCATCTTGATTACATCAGGACTGTTCAATTCCATCATGAGTACCCATGGATAGTTAGTGCAAGTGATGATCAGACAATCAGGATATGGAATTGGCAGTCTCGGACATGTATTTCTGTCTTGACTGGTCACAACCATTATGTGATGTGTGCCTCATTTCATCCCAAGGAAGACTTGGTTGTCTCAGCATCTTTGGATCAGACTGTTCGGGTCTGGGATATTGGTTCCATGAGGAAGAAAACAGTTTCCCCTGCCGATGACATCCTTCGGCTGAGTCAAATGAATGCAGACTTCTTTGGTGGGGTTGATGCTGTGGTGAAGTATGTCTTGGAGGGTCATGATAGAGGTGTTAATTGGGCTTCTTTTCATCCGACACTCCCCTTAATTGTGTCTGGGGCAGATGATCGCCAAGTGAAAATTTGGAGAATGAATGGTATGCCCTGTGAAATCTCTGATTGGTATCGTGTATCTAGACTCCACTACCCTTGAAAAAAAACTTCATATGCAGACTGCTCTTTTTTTGTGCTTTGTGTGTACCGACTACCTCTAGAGGCTACATCACATCAAATATTCATGTAGATAGATAAAGCCTGAATATCTAATACAGGCTGCATCTCAACAAATATTATAAGTTAATTATCCATCTTATAGTGTGTGCATTAGTTGTCTATGGGCAAATTTGGATTTTATGAAACAGAGCCAACATACTTCGTTTTGGTATTTCATCCCATTTTCAGGTTTTGTATTCCTACTCAATTTTGCTATTATCTTTTTTCTGCTATATTATTATTAATATCATTATTTATTTTATTACTCCGTATTACTTTGCAATGTTATATATATGTGTGTGTGTGTGTGTGTGTGTGTGTGCATGTATGTATGTATGTATGTATGTGTGTGTGTGTGTGTGTGTATATATATATATATACACCAAGAACCATGTTAAATGCCTTTTGGTATTTGATGAGCATTTCAATGATCTGATTCATATTTTGCTTAGACATAAAAACTACCCTAAAACCGAGCATATTACATCCCCACCACCACCTTATTCCCGTCTATTTTGTTGTCACATGAAAATTTAGTACTAATTAATTGTGTACAGTTTGCTACCACTATAATTTCATGAAAACCAAAGTAGTAATTAGTAAAGCTCTTCGGAACTCCTTCCTGTCTTAACCTTTTCACAAAAAAAACATCTTCATAGGTTTTTCTATTTGCACTTAAAGAATTCTTAGATGTCGATGAGTGTAGATAGTTGCTATAGACTTGTAGCTATGTCCCATATAGTAAAATAATATGCACATCATGGAACATCACCTCTTTTTTATATAAACCTCCCTAATGAATACTACGTATTATCACCAAATTGCACTCTAAACAAATTATTGGAGTCTAGATAAAATATTGTAAAAATAAAAATTTCCAATTGCTTTAAGGGTGAAAAAAATATTTTCATGTGCTATGATTGAAGAAGTAATTTGTGTACTGAAACTTTGCTCAATCCAATCATCCTATTGGCAGACCTGCAGAACACTTTGGGGGGGGGGGGTCAAAATGAACGCAATCATCTTTGTAATAACAAAGATGTTGTTTCTGCAAAGATGTTGTTTCTGTTATTGATGCATTGCAGCATTTACATCCCAAAACTTCACCCAAAGTAAGAAGCTAGGGAAGTGGTAACATGTCATTTTGGTTTAAACCATTATTTTTCGAAAGCTAAACCAACAACAAATCCAGTAGGATCCCATTGTAACAAAAGATGACATTTTTTAGCACTTATAGCTCTAGAATGATTGTTGAAGGCTGTTAGAATTGTGGTAAATTTATTACAGGATAATTTCAGCTTTGATTTTATATATTCATATAATTACTCTCTTGTTATTGCTAACTTTGGTCCATATTTTTTTAGACACAAAAGCATGGGAGGTGGACACTTTGAGAGGCCACATGAACAATGTTTCTTCTGTTTTGTTCCACTCAAGGCAAGATATTATCGTTTCGAATTCAGAGGATAAGAGTATACGTGTGTGGGATGCTACAAAAAGAACTGGTCTTCAGACTTTTAGGAGGGAACATGACAGGTTCTGGATTCTTACAGCTCATCCTGAGATGAACCTTTTAGCAGCTGGGCATGATAGTGGGATGATAGTGTTCAAGTTAGAGAGAGAACGTCCTGCGTGTTCTTTGAGCTCTGATTCACTGTTTTATGTGAAGGACCGGTTCCTGCGAGTTTTTGAATACTCTACTCAGAAAGACACACAGCTTATACCAATTCGTAGGCCTGGGTCGAATGGCTTGAATCAAAGTCCACGAACCCTTTCATATAGTCCTACCGAGAATGCTGTCTTAATATGCTCAGAAATAGATGGTGGTTCATATGAACTATATATCATACCCAAAGACAGTTATGGGAGGGGTGACACTGTTCAAGATGCAAAAAGAGGAGTTGGAGGATCTGCCGTGTTCATTGCTCGAAATAGGTTTGCAGTGCTCGAGAAGAGCACTAACAGTGTTCTAGTGAAGAATCTTAAAAATGAAATTGTTAAGAAAAGTGTTCTTCCTATTGCTACCGATGCTATATTTTATGCTGGGACTGGAAATTTGTTGTGCCGGGCAGAGGATCGAGTGATTATTTTTGACCTCCAGCAGAGGATTGTTCTTGGAGACCTTCAAGCATCTTTTGTAAGATATGTCGTGTGGTCACATGACATGGAGAGTGTAGCTTTGCTTAGCAAGCATTCTATTGTTATAGCTGATAAGAAGCTGGTTCATCGATGTACCCTTCATGAGACGATCCGCGTTAAGAGTGGAGCATGGGATGATAATGGAGTATTCATATATACAACACTAACCCACATCAAGTATTGCCTTCCCAATGGTGATAGTGGAATTATTAAGACCTTAGATGTCCCTTTCTATGTAACAAAAATTTATGGAAACACAATATTTTGCCTGGACCGAGATGGAAAGAACCGCCCCATCATCATTGATTCAACTGAGTACATTTTCAAGCTATCACTGCTGAGGAAGAGATATGATCAGGTGATGAGCATGATAAGGAAGTCAGAACTTTGTGGACAAGCCATGATAGCGTATTTGCAGCAGAAAGGCTTTCCAGAAGTTGCTCTTCATTTTGTCAAAGATGAACGGATCCGTTTTGGGTTGGCACTTGAGAGCGGGAACATTGAGATCGCCCTTGAATCTGCTAAGAAGATAGATGAGAAAGATCAATGGTATAGGCTAGGAGTGGAAGCCCTTCGGCAGGGTAATGCTGGAATCGTTGAATATGCTTACCAAAAGACAAAGAACTTTGAGAGGCTCTCTTTTCTCTATCTGATAACGGGAAACCTGCAGAAGTTATCCAAGATGATGAAAATTGCAGAGGTGGAAAATGAAGTTATGGGTCAGTTTCACAATGCTTTGTACCTCGGTGACATCCGTGAGCGTGTCAAGATATTGGAGAACGCTGACCATCTGCCCCTTGCCTACATCACAGCCTCTTCTCATGGGCTCACTGATATTGCTGAGCGTATTGCCGAAAAACTTGGTGACAACAATATCCCTTCATTGCCGAAAGAAAAGAAGGCTTCTCTCTTGCTACCTCCGAGTCCGATATCAGGTGGAGGAGGAGATTGGCCTCTGTTGATGGTCAGTAGAGGCATATTTGAAGGGACTCTAAATATTCCAAACGAAGTTGCTTCAAATGACGAGTATGAAGAAGCTGCTGATGCTGATTGGGTTGAGGAGTTGGACATTGGGGAGGTAGAGAATCTACAGAACGTTGATATTAGTAGTATGGTTTTGGAGGATGAGGAAGGTCACGAAGAAGCCAATGGGGGATGGGATTTGGAGGATTTGGATCTCCCACTCGAAAGTGACACACCAAAGACAGCTACTAATGCATCACGTTCTTCAGTGTTTGTTGCCCCGACTCCTGGCATGCCGGTCAGCCAGATTTGGATGCAAAAATCATCCCTTGCAGCTGAACATGCTGCCGCTGGGAACTTTGACACCGCGATGAGGTTGCTTAACCGGCAGTTGGGAATCAAGAACTTCTCACCTCTGAAGCAATTGTTCATCGATCTTCACGTGGGCAGCCACAGTTTCTTGCTCGCCTTCTCTTCAGCCCCAGTGATTTCTACGGCCGTTGAGAGAGGGTGGAGTGATTCAGCGAGTCCCAACGTGCGGGGCCCACCAGCTCTCGTTTTCAACTTTTCTCAGTTGGAAGAGAAGCTGAAAGCTGGTTATAAGTTGACGACTCAAGGGAAATTCCCCGAGGCTCTCCGGACGTTTCTAAATATTCTTCACACAATTCCAGTGGTGGTCGTTGAGTCAAGGCGGGAGGTGGATGAAGTGAAGGAACTGGTTGTTATTGTGAAGGAGTATGTTTTGGCTCTTCAGATGGAGCTTAAGAGGAAGGAAATGGGGGACAACCCGGTCCGCCAGCAGGAGTTAGCAGCCTATTTCACCCATTGCAATCTTCAGCTTCCACATATGAGGCTCGCATTGCTTAGCGCCATGACTGTGTGCTTCAAGGCAAAAAGTATGGCCACAGCCGCCAACTTTGCCAGGCGGTTGTTGGAGACCAATCCAAGCAATGAAAAGCAGACCAAGGCGGCCCGCCAAGTTCTGCAGGCAGCAGAGAGAAACATGCAAGATGCAACACAGCTGAATTACGACTTCAGGAATCCTTTTGTCGTTTGTGGCGCTACCTATGTCCCCATCTACAAAGGACAGAAGGACGTCGCATGCCCTTATTGCACCACCCATTTTGTCCCATCCCAAGAAGGGAATATCTGTGCGGTTTGTGGTATTGCTGTGGTTGGAGCAGATGCATCCGGTTTACTTTGCTCTCCTGCTCAGGTGAGGTAAATACTCAGCTTTTTTTACCCAAATTGAGCCAGTTATATATTGTGGTTGACATGTTTTTTTCCCTCTTCTACTTCTTTACCATTGTTGAAAGCCAGCCAAAAAGAACAAGTTTTGATCGGATTCTTTATTTATACTCCCTATTTCTTTTCAGCCAGTTTTTTGAACCTTTAATTCTCCAAACTTTAAAAGTCACTACGAGTTTCATTGTAATAATGAAGTGTGTATCTCTCTCTACTTCTGAGGTTTAAGTTGGCGTAATACGATGGAAAATAGCCTCCTGCCACCCAATGACACTAGGAAAAAGCTACACGTAAATCAAACTTGCATGAAATTTACACCACATCCCAAATTTGAACTACATAAACAAGTCTTGTCTATTTACCGACAATGTGTATCGTGTAAAACAAACAAGATTTGTCCGTGTTGATCAAAATTTTCGGTGTGGCGTAACTTGTAAGCTCCTATATGCAATTTTAGATGTAGCATTTTCAAGATTTGTCCTAAGCTCCTATATGCAATTAGGGCATCAAATTGTGTTCTAGCTTCATAAAATACCACTACTTGTCTAGTAGTACTAGTAGTATAGGAGCTTGAATGGAAATAGTTTTTCAATCGTCTAGTAGGGGTAAAGTTTGTTTATACACTCTTTTCTAGATTTAATTTTTGTGGGATTTTACTGAATTGTTATTATTGTTCGTCTTCAGGCTTGACATTATTTAAAAAGACTTACATTATTATTATGCAAGAGGGATGGAGCTGCAATGATGTTTGGGTTTTGTGGTTCCCAACATCAAATCTCCTCCTCCTCCCTACTATGTTTGTCACCTTTTTTTATTTGGTCCTTACTCCCTCCCGCCATTTCTGTTCCAACAAAATAGTTCCATTTTTTTTAAAAAAAAAGTATTTCATCCATCTTGAAATTAAGTTCGGATTAAAGTTTTCATTTTCTTTTTAGGAAAGTATTGTGGTTCATTCTTAATGTACTACAATATTTTTCTATAGAGCAATTCCCTTTCTAAATTATGTACACAATTTTACTTTTCTAAATTATGTGCAAAAGTTAAAATGAGAACTTTAACTTGGAATTGAGAAAGTATGTCAAGCAACTTAAATATCCATAATTTAATTAAACAAACTATGGGCGTTAATTTTGGATGATTTATAAAAGCTCTATTTGCATAACATAAAAAATTATGCATTTATGAAATATGACAGTTTTAGAGGATGAATGTTGTACTTGTATTATTTGGTAGTACCTATATTTCAAATTAAGTTATTTACCATTCACATGATCAAACTTTAATTTTGTTCTTGATCCATTTACGCGACCTGTTTATGAAAGTAAAATTTTTTATATAGTTTTAAGTATATAAATTTTATTTTTTAATTATTTACCAATTTTCAAATAAATTGAATAGAGAATAACTTCAATTAAACCTCTTAACAACACCATATATACTCTTTTTAGGCAGATTATGATCGTTACATTTTCAATGACAAGAACCCAAACACCCAGTAGCATTTTGTTTCTAAAATATACAATGTGATATAATTATACTCTGAATTATTTTAACAAATGAATAACAAAAATACATAAATATTTCTCTCCATCACAAAACTATCATCTCACTTCGAAACAATTCCACTTCTACCTTTTATTAAATTGCGTATAATAATCCTATTTTTAAACTTTTTCTCAAACTTTTTACTCCATATTAAAATTAACGCCACTACAAGTTTGGCTTATTTTTGGTAGACCACAAAAAGGTAAGATCACTTTTTTAGTAGAGTAAAATAAAAAAAATGCTCCAAAGTGTTAAACATTGGGCGCTACCCTCTATTGGTGCACATATGGCCAACAAGAATTATAAAATAAACTAGTTTTAACTTCATTAATTAACAATTCTCTTTTGTATTATATTGATTTTAGAGTTAAAGTAGTTTGTATTTTATTTTTTGATTTTAACTCAAACAAACATTGATCCCACTTTTTTGTGGTCTACCAAAAAATTCATGTCAAAGTCATTGTTGAGTTTGGTTTAATTTTTAAAAATTTTATTAATTCTTATTTCAATAACGATGGATAAAAACAAAACTTTAAAAAAAGAAAATAAAATATAGGGTTATTATACGCAATTCAAATGAAAATGTGATTATTTTGCGTAATTCCACGAAAGATAGAATTATTTTGAGCAATATAGCAAAACAAAAGAATACCAAACTTATAATTTTGTTAGCTTTTCTGTTTTGAGAGTAACGGTGACCCAAATCATGTAACAACTCAAGAGGTTGACATTATTTTACATAATATTGAAAAGTATAATTAGCCAAATCGCGAAATAGTCAAACTGCAAATTTATTCTAGAGATGAAAGCTAAGAAACATTTTCTATACAATCAATCAAAAAAAGCAAAAAAAAAACCATAACATAACTCATTAAAAAACCATAGAATTTAAAATGCCGAAAAGAAGTAAAATGGGCACTAGGGGATGTGATGGGTAGGGTAGGCATGTGGTCTTTGGAGCACCCATCATCAGTCCTTAAATTATGGGGCAATCGTACAATTTGTTACTGTAAAAAATTGTTTTTTCTCTTAGCTTCTTCTTCTGCTTTGATGTTCTTTTTCTTTCACTTCATTTGATGTACTCTTTCATCATTTGTTTATAAAAGATGAACAATAATCCCTTCTATTTCTTCCACCCCATAATGATTGTTAAAAAAATGATCCAATTTAAAAGCAATATACGGATTATTTATTTCTCAAACTATGATTAATTACTATTACATTGTGATAATAATATGGTATTGTATATTATGCATTGGCACTATTGATATTATAAGTCTTACACCACAAGATTTAGACATATTTGCCTCGGACAGTTTCTGTCGCAAACAGCTTAGTTTCGTCGCAGATCTATGTATTGCGACGAAGGTGCGACGGGTTTTTTTGTCACAAAAAACTTGTCGCATTTAAATTGTTTGCGACAAAATTGCGGTTTTGTCGCAAATTTGCGACAAAACCTGAACATGTTCTTCCTTGCATGGAGGGAGAACATACGTCGAGAGGGCGACTTTGTCCAGCGTCGTTCTGGTCGCAAATCGATGAAAGAGGGAGACTTGTGATTTTACAAGTCTGAAATCAGATAAGATTTTGTTAAATGTTTGCGACAGAGCATATATCCGTTACAGAATACATCGCTAAAAGGCGAGGCAGGATAGACATTTACTTTGATGGTCAAAATCTTTGCGACAGATCAATGTATATGCCGCAGTTTGCCATGAAAACATTAATTCTGTCATGGATGTGGACCATTTTCAAAAACCTCACCTTCTGTCGCAAAATCCGCCGCAGACGGCGACAATTTTATTCTGTCACAATTTTTCTATAGCAAATTGAGATAATTCTTGTAGTGTTATCATGGAGATAAAATCATAAATGTGTTATTTTGATTTTTTTCCTAAATTTTACTCATATTTTATTTTTTCTCCCTAATTATTACTTCACCAATACTTGCTAAAAATTAGGAGTCTCCCTCTCATGAGGGGGAGACAAAATATGTGGAATCTCTCAAATTGAATTGCTTTAATCATTTATGGGAAAAAAGATGAGGCGGAAGATGAATGAATTCACAACTTTCCACTAATTAGGTTTTTCAATATAGTGAAGCAAAAAAGTTTAATCTATCTCTAAAATTTTATTATTATAATTATAAATTTTATTTTTTTATTTATATACCAATTATCTAACAACACCCAAATTTTGGAAAATATTTTAAAATCTCTTTGCTACCGTTACGGTATTGTAACAAGGAGTACATACGCGTAAAGGGCTTCTGAAATGAAGTAGTCCGTCCGTACGACCATAAGGACATGTGAATCTCTCAAAATTAATACCCGATTACCGAGTACACACACCATTTAATTTGCATGGGTTGACTCTGTCTTGCCGTGTCAAATACTCCCTCCGTTCTCAAATAGATTACAATATTCCCTCGCATTTTTGTCCCAAAATGAATTACAAAGTCAATAACTTTACAAAGAATTAACTCTTTTACCTTCACACTCCTACACTATTCACACACTATTCATCCATGTGAGTGGGAAGGATACTTGGAGGATTTGGGGAGTAATTTGGAGAAAAAAAATTGATTTGATTCTTCCTTAATTTCAACAAAAAGGGAATATTGTAATCTGAGACGGAGGGAGTATTAGATATGATTTCATGTTTGGCCCACTATCTATATTCCAATCTCTATGCCGTTAAACAAAAACTAAATGTAGAATTGTACTCAATCAATACGGACCACAAATGTAACATTTGATAAATATGGACTAAATACAGAAAAGACCCAATTATAAAGAATTATTTCGAAAAAATTACTCTTTTTAGACTAATTTTAAGAAAAAAATTAATGAATATGAAAAATGCATGATTGTAGTTTATTTATAAAAAGTCAAAATTTGTACACCATAAAATATAGTGTACCAAAAATTGCATTTTTTTAATATGAGAATCATTTTGGAATAGATAGAAATTAAAAACTAAATTTGAAGTTATTATCATGTTTTAACAACAAAAGAGCTTCATGTTTTTTATCTTCGAAATAGGAGTACAATGACAATAATGCCAATATATATTATCAAAAAATGTAGTAAGATCACTATACAATGTTATTATGTGTTTGTGTAGACTCTATTTTGAGAAAAAAAATATGAAATTCTTATTTTGAAGATAAATGTTACTCGTATGTTTTACTCCTATTTTGAGTGATTTGTAATTAGTTTTTAATTTCTATCTGTTCTAAAATAATTCCCGTATAAAAAAATCAAATATTATTTTCGCGGTCCTCATTGATTGGGTACCATTCCACATTTTGTTCTTTTCTAATAACATGGAGACGGGAAACTAGACGGAGAATTAAACATGAAATGATACCGAACTGATCAGGATTGTCATCATAATATTTGATAAATATTGATTAAATATGGAAAAAGGAAGGTAATTATTGTTTTAAAAACAAAAGTGTATAATGTGAAAGAAAAATGATAGGGTACACCAAATGTGTACCCCAAATGTACACTAAAGGTCATACCACATACATCTAAATGTAAAAAACAAAAGAAAAAGATAAATAAAAATGTATGGTTACAAAATTGTTGGTGTACATTCGGGATACACATCTAGTGTATGTATCCCAAGCAATCTCTCAATGAGAAAGGGTAGTTATGGTGATAAATGTCGACATAAAAGGGCACAAAATCCACGAATAAAAATCATCATGTTCTCAAATGCAAAGGATGGACCATACCATATACCAATACCCATTTTTCA